TAAAGCACCCTGGGTTCAATCCCCATTACCACAAAAGAAATAAAAATAAAAAGGTCTTGTCCCTTTCCTGTTCTAATACACCTCACGCCCCTGGCTATTTGGTTAACACAAGTAGTTACCTGGGAGTTTTCTAACCCTGGAAAAGCAGGGAGTCACCTAAGCAAAATCTGATTTCCAGGCCTAATTCAAAAAGGAGAGAAGGAAGACAAGGCAGCCCACATCTCAGCCTTGTGCTGGCTTAAAGTGGAAAACCACTGATCTAGTCTACTGTCCTCCAGACAGATAGGGAAACTGAAGCACAGAGAAGTGGAAACTGAAGCACAGAGAAGTGGCGTAACTGAAGCAAAGTCACACAGCAAGCAGGAAGCAGGGCTGGACCAGAAGTTTCATGCTGACTCCTGCGTGCTGCCCCAGATTATCTAATCCTTAGTGTGTTAGCAACACTCAAGGCCTCCAGGGCCAGATACAAAAAGGGAAAAGAGGGCTCACCTGCATTCAGGAGTCATGGAAACTGGCAGAACAGCACCAGAGATCCTTGCTATGTGAGAACTCAGTCTGGAGCTGCCAGGTCTCCTGGTGACTTTGAAGGACAGTTAGAAACCTGAGTTTTTGTGCAAACTTTCCTGAATCTTAAGAATTACGTTCTAGGGTTGGGGTTGTGGCTGAGTGGTAGAGGGCTCACCTAGTATGTGTGAGGAACTGGGATCGATCCTCACCACTACGTAAATATAAAATAAATATATTGTGTCCACCTAAAACTAAAATATAAATATATAAAAAAAATTATGTTCTAATTCCAAGCAAATTTTTTAAATATTTATATTTTAGTAGTAGTTGGACACAATACCTTTATTTTATTTATTTATTTATTTATTCATTTATTTATTTATTTATTTATTTATTTTTATGTGGTGCTAAGGATCGATCCCAAGGCCTCGCATATGGTAGATGAGTGCTCTACCGCGGAGTCACAGCCCCAGACCCCAAGCAAATTTTAAACCTGAGCAACCAACCAAAAAAAACCTGGAGCCAGGTGCGCTTCTTGGGTTACCAGTTTGCAACCTCGGTTCAGAATTTCAGGGTTGGACCTTGGGATGACTTTTTGGCACCGAGTCAGGATGACATGAGAGGTTCTTGGAAAGTATCTTTCTCTATAAATCAGTGTCTGGTCCTGGTGGCTCAAATTCTTCTGTTAGCTATTTGTTCTCGTGAGCCAAACAGTACTCTCCCCAGATATTCTTGCCAAAAGATTTCAAAGAGTTTATTACAAATATCTTTGTCTAGAGGACAGATCTAGGTACTGTCCTGGACCTGGAAGAACAGAAAACAGTAATATAGA